GGGGTTGCCCCGCCGATGGAGGAGAGGGTGACCGGCACGGGAGGGCGGGGGACCCTCGTCTATAGGGTCTCTCGAGGCCCGGGGTGATGACATTTAACCTTTTCCTTTACATATATATATGCATATACATATAGGTGCATGTTTACATATATATACCTATTCTGTCTAGTTTATTTAGCCAGCCAGCCGGCCCCCGCTCGTGGAAGACGGGGCCGTCCACGACAGCCCGGGCGGGGAGGCGGCGGCGATGCGCTGCCCGTTCCAGCGCCCAGCCTGTGGCTCCTGGCGTTCCCCCTCCGCAGCCCGACTTTTTTCTTATTATTCCTATTGTCAGTCCACTTCATGGAAGGAAAGCCGTAAAGCCACCCTCCGCCTGCCCCCTTTTCCCGAGGCTCCTGGATCCGCCCGCCTCGGGACGGGGACCCCCGGCAAGCCCACAAATCTCCCCCTCGCTGCGGGGTGCCGGGGCAGGAGAGTTAAATCCTCTGCCTGTATCCTCGGGAGCAGGCGGGCCAGGTTTGGAGAGGGACGAGTCGATCCGGAGCGCACGTCGGAGACCCGTGGAGGTTTGGGTGAGTACACGGATGCCCGGGCGATGTTCACCTGCGGGTCAGCTCTCTGCTCCTGCTCTGCCTCCTCTGCCGGGACAGCCCGACTTGTTCCCCTTTACGGTATTCCAGGACAAGAACCCCTTTCCCAAGCCCCGCCTCCCCCTCCCGCTTCGGAACGGGGACACCGGTTGCTGCCCGGCGGGAGTGTCCGGCGGGGCCGGGGCGCAGGCGGGTGCGGAGCCGGCGTCACCGGCACGGAACGGTCCCGCTCCTTTTCCCGGAGTGGCCGTGGGGACCTTTAAGGTCAGGCCCTATTTAGGAAAGAAAGAAAAAAGAAGAAGAAGAAAAAAAAGAATAATTCCACTTCCAAGGTTTCCAGAAACAAATGCAAACAGCCAGAGCTCTGAAATGGACTCTGGAAAAGGAGGAATATACGGGGGCACGTTCGGCTTTCGGTCCCACCTGTGCAGAGACCGAGGAGCAATCCGGTGAACTGTAAACCGGACGAAAGTGCATTCGGCACTTGTTGCACAGGAGTGATGTTCACGAACGTTGCTTTTACGCTCTGCGCATCTCGGTGCGTGTTGCTGGATAGGAAATGTGAGTTTGGCTGATACGTCTTAAGCATCCGTAAACCGTCTGCTCTGTTTGACTGGCAGACTCAGAAAATACATGAGTACTTTCCCGAATAAAGAGAAAAATGTGCACCCTGGTTACTTCTGTGCATTTTATATACAGTGTGGAAACGATATGCGTGTCTCCCGTACCCTTATTTTATAAAGTGTTCCTACAGTGTGGTCATGCAACTTATGTAATATTATTTGCTTTCCACTTAGAAATAGTATAATAAAATCAATAAGAGTAAACTTGCTCTTGCTTTTCTTTCCTCTGTATTTCTTTAGCATAACGTATAACTGTTTGGTGTGCCAATAATGCTGAACTGTGTTTGTGCAAAGTCATGTACACTCAGACATATTCCTGAGACACAAAATCAGGATGAATGTAATTCTCCACCTGCAAATACAACACTTGCACATACATGTCCGTGTGTAAGGGGTATTTTTTTTTAAGCTTGTAGTTACGTTTACGTACCTTTTACATTGCTATAGTGGCAGTTTGTCCTTAATACTCTTTGCGCTTATTATGATGAGGAGGAGAAAAAGGGGCGTGTGTTTACTAGATGTCTCCCTGCAGCCACCCAGCAGGGCTCCGTGTAGGGAGCAGAAAAAGCAACCAGTGAGGGTATTTTCGTAATTTAATGTCAGAATGACATCCTGGGCCCCTGCCCTAACTCCTTTCGGTGACACTTGCCCAGGTGTAACGGGGGGGGGGGGGTGTCCCCTCATTGCCATCACCCCGGGCTAACCCCTCCGTCGGGCAAGGGCCCCGCCGGCGCGGCTCCCGGGCCACCTCAGCGGGGCTCGGGGTGGCCGTGGCGAGGCAGGACAATTCCAAACCACCTCCTCTGCCACAGCCGTCTCCTTGCAGCATGGTAAACCTTCATTTTTCCGCAGGCTGCTGCGTACAGAGACTTTCCCCGGGCAGCAAGCCTGCCCGCCCTCGGCGGGTCAGGAGGGATTTCCCCGCGTTTTCGGCAGAAGTGGCTTTGAGACCAGATTTAGACTATAGGTGACGGGCCCCTTATTTTTTCCGTCTCTGGCTCTGTTTCTCTCCCAGGTCCATCTTTTTCCCCGAGGCTTTGGAGACCTCCAGATGCGGGCCAGCTCCGGCCTGCGGCCCCGGCGGGTTCTCTCCTGCTGAGCAGCCCTGGCTCCCAGTCCGTGCCCATCACTGGCGTGGGACACCCGTGGGGTATTCTCCCCCCCCCCGTAATCATCTCCGACGGCTCCTGAGCCTTTGGCAGTGTTTGCTCGACGTGGGTACAAAGCATGGGGCGGGTAGGGAGAAGTGGGGATTTGGGGCCGGGCTCCGGAGGGAATCGGCAGACGGAAGGTTCCAATTTGGGGCCGAAAACGTGGGTGTGAGTGTGACAAGTGCCTCCAGCGGGATGCGGGGATGCCCTGACGCCTCCCGCAGTGCCTGGAGCGGGCCTGCCTGCAATGTGAATGCAATTACCCGGCCGGTGTTTGATGTCTCCCCTTGCTCTCCCCCCCCCCAGCACTGCCTCGATGTGTCGTAAAATAGAAATGAAATGAAAGACAGGCTTTAGCGCTCGCTACCTAACCTCTGCTCCTCTCTGCTTTTAAGGGCCCGCGGTCCGTTTGGAGCCCGGAGCTTTGCAGGAGGCGTTTAAGCCCCAGCGCTGCGGGCAGAGATGGTTTTCTGGGAAGGGGAATCATCTCTCCCTTCTCCATGCCAAAAAAGCGGCGCTGAAGAGATCGCTCCCTTCCCAGCACCCTCCTAACAGCCCAGACGGCAGCGCTGCGGGTAAGGAGATTCTTGGCCAACATCTGCCTCTGGGTGATATATTGAGATACATATATGTGTGTACTTATGTATATACTTACAAATAAAAAGAGGTTTTTCAGCCAGGTTCGGTTTAGCTACGAAAAATAAACCAAATAAAGACCGTATTGCCATCTTCAGTAAACCACCAAAACGCAAAAGCAGACACAGTGATGCAAAAGCAGCGTTTTTCGGGTCTGGCGTTCCTCTAGAGGAGCAGAGGTGGTGGTGGGATGGTTTGGATACCTGCTCTAAAAAGACAGAAACTAAAAGATCAACCAGAAGATGGTTGCACCGCCTCTAAACCTCTGTGTAACATCTTCTTCCTCCTCCCGGGGAGTGCTGGGGGCCTCCCAAACCTCCCCCCCCGGGGCATCTCCCATCCCTGCATGGAGTTCGCCAGGTCTCTGCTCCGGCTCCGCCGCCCTCCAAAAGCCGCGGACCCGGGGGAGGTGGTGGGAGTCGGGGGGGGGATCCCGTCCCGCTGGGCCCTGCTGGGCCAAGCCGAGGGGCCGTTTCAGAGGGGTGTCCCAGCCAGTGTCCCCTCCGCCGTCCCCCGT